CAAATCTCTGTCTGAAGTTTTCTCCGTAACCATGCAATAGAATAAAAGGAGGTCTACAAGGGAGTGAAAAGTAACTTTATCTTTCATCGTGAAAGGTAGCTAATTGTACTTTATTTGTACACCAAGATAAATTTTACAATTAAAACGTGTATGAACAAGGAGATAAGTTTATTTTTTTACCCTCCACGATTTCCTTGAACGGTCAAATCCGTTCCAATGTCCAAAATGGTGAATTGCTGGAGAGAAGCCTTTATAGTCAGCTTAGCGAAGTTGAAGGCTGGAGGAGGTGCGTTTTCCGGTCATATAGGAAGAGATGAGCCAGTCTTCCAATTCGCGGCTGTCATGGATATGATTGTGCGGAATTTACGGAGACCCGGGAATTAAAATAATCACGGTTCGAGGTACAATTACTAACCCAAGCTGGTCAAAAGGAAGATATGTAATGCTGAATAATCATAGGAAGACCATGACTATGAGTAGTTGGTTAAGCGGGGTAGTGTGAACGCTTACCAACTAGCCCATGGATAGTGATTTATCTGTTGAATAACGTTATCCAGTAAGAGAACGTCGTAAACTAATTTGTTTTTTCTAATAGCAAAAAGTTAACAACGCAAGTAGGACCACTACGGTATAACCAGCGACCATGCCCTCCCTCCCTTATATTCCTTCTCCCATTCTAAAAAAAAAAAAAAAAAAAAAAAAAAAAAANTACACAAATTATTTCGTACGCTTTTTCGCAACTCAATAACAAAAGAAGTGAATGTATTCAACTTTATAGGCATGCATACCCTGTTTCTGCAAGGTTTATTGCTTGTTCCACATTTACATTCATCTGTACACAGCACGTTTCTCCCTTTGCACGGGCACCCACGAGAACTATTTTCTTTGCGCTTCGTTGTACAAGCACTTTTGCATTTACAAAAGGTCGCCGCTGGTTCCTGAGTAAAAGAAATTCACCTTCGTGAGTATTTGCTTTGCATTAAGTTGATTTAAATGCAAAATATATGCAGAATTCTTATACTCACCGATATTTCCATAATGGCGGTCGAGCGTGACAAGTTTCGGAGAGAGTGAATGCTACTGCGTATGTCAACCCATGACAGTATCCCTTTAAGGCTGGTTTTCACTAGCGATGGAGTCGTGGTCGGAATCGTAGTCGGAGTCATAAGAGTGCTTACGACCTAGTGAAAATCGAAAATCAGTCGTAAGCGGAGTCATAAGCTCGACGGAGTCGGAGTCGGAAGAATAAGAACGTTTCCATTTCTTCCGATTCCGTTTACGACTCCGTCACTTATGATCCAGTGAAAACTAGATAGTCGGAGTCGGAAGCAGAAGCGGAAGAACTAACCAATCACAAGGCCCGGAATCGAACACTGTGATTGGTTTATTCTTCTGTTTCTGCTTGCGACTCCGACAATGCAGTTTTCACTAGATTGTAAGCGACGGAGTCATAAGCGGATGCAATGTTCTGCTTCTGACTCCGTCGGTTTGATTTTCACTAGATCGTACCGCTCTACGCTTCTGATTACGACTCCAACTACGACTCCGTCGCTAGTGAAAACCAGCCTTTAGAGAGCCAAAGATGACAACAGAAGACAGTTAACTATCCATTCTTTTCGTTCCTTTATTTCCTCTCATCCTATTCAACAAGATTGCATGCTTCCTATGCCTAGATCTGCAAGTGCATCTTTATACAATTTAAACCTCTTCTTTTCATGTGCATTGCACCAACGGGGAGGCTCAATCAAATATGCATGCCTGTTTATTGGCGGGTTCTCGTGACGTCATCATATTACAAAATTAAAAATTACCTTTCTTTCTAAGGTTTTAGTTTCATCAGATATAAGGCCCCTCTGAACTTGACGCTTTAGAACTGTAAACGTTTTAGTGTGTTTTGACGACGGAGTTCTTGTAATAAAGCATGTTTGACTTTCCAAGTTTTGCGTCCAGTGGCATTCAAATGTTGTTGTTGTTGTTGTGTTCGAGAAGGCTGTCGCGTAGGTCAAAAGATGTGCTTTCAAAGTTTCTACTAATCTTATAGGAGAAGAAATATTAATTTCAATGTGTCGAGGCTCTAGAGAAATAACTTATCGTTTCAGAAGCAAAACTTACCTAGTGAGTCTAATGACGGATGCTTCTGTTACTTCACGGCCGCCATGTTTGTGCCCCTCTGAGCGGCACCGATCTCGACATGGCGTCTCCACACAAAGCAAATACTTCTCCAAATATTAACGTACGAATGACGACCTACTGATCGTGGTGCGGTGTTTTTCTAGAGTCTAGATTTTCTAGATTCTGCAAATAAATTAATAACAAGGTTTTATTACTTTTGGAAGGAAATTAATAAAATAACATCAGATCCACAAACGCTTTTCTCTTCAAATATGGGAAGGGTCTTTCATTTGATCGAAGGGAAAAGCGCCCTGGCCTGGAGCTGGAGACGAGGTTCATTTTCCTTTCCATCCATTTCGGTGTTTCCGTTTTTCGCCGATGACGTCAAGTATATGGAGCGATTGTCACATGACATCGTTTCGAGCTACGCCGTTCCACGCAAAATGGCGGACAATTTAGGGTTTTCGGCGCCATCTGCTACTGTACAACCCGATACAAGTGAAAATGCACCTTTATTGCAAGAGCAAGAAGAAGGAAATGTAGATCCAGGACCTCCTCCTCCATTCATAGCTAGTAAGTGAACTTTACAGCTAAGTGTAGAACCTTCAGTGAACTGCTGAGACTGTTAAATATTTCGTTCCTTGCTTTCGAAGTGTGTTGCGAAATGCGTGCCGACAGTTCTTTAGATTGGTACACCTTTCATTGAAGAAGCTATCTAACAGACATATCAAGTTTTATATATATTACCTCAGTGCTCTCTGAAAGAAGCTTGCGATTTCAACTCTGTTTTGTGGGTTTTGTTTTGATGCGAATGTTTTCGTGCTCAGAAATGTTAAGCTTGACTGACTTCGAGAAGCTTCCCTTTCGTGATTTGGTGGTTATCACTTCCTTGTATCATTTTGTAATTTGCGACAAAAAAAGAAAAACAGAATACGGATAATGATTATAAGTTATTGAAAGAATGTTATTCATATGGAAGAAATTCTTAAGATAATTTGCTCCGCCATATTCTCCCTGGAAACCAAATATTCGTACTGTAGCTAAAGTACAGTTGTACATAAGCTTAAGCTTATCAAAAACTGAACTTTTAAGTGTTACCTCCTGGGTATATAATCCTATTTATTTTGGATAGTGAGGCCTGTTTGGTATTTTGGTAAAATTAAAATTACCATTGAAGCTTATTTTGATGTACATTTTAAGTCTTTATCCTACTAAGCCACTGTAGTTTGTTGACCTTTGAGATCTCAAAGCATCTCTATTTTATGCTAAACCATTTACAACGGATGCTATATACAGAATGACTTCTGAACAAAGTCAGGTGATGTTTTAAATAAAAGCAATGGTTTCCAACCCAATAAAGCATAAATACATGTA